GTGTGTGCTCCTGTGAGATGATGCAGACTACAGGAAATTTATTTTACAGCATTCACAGTAAGAATAGTATATTCCACACAGGAAACTGGTTAACTCTTGGCTTTCCACTGAACATAAAATGAGGAATTAGGAAGCTGTCACATATGAGGAATGTGGGAGAAAGTAAATGACAGCATTTTAAGGTGGAATGAAGGAATGTCAATGAAGCCCTGCCTTTCTGTCCAGTGCCATCAAACCTGGAAGTCAACTAGGCTGGCTCTGCATAGATATAATCTGAACATCTTACGAGCAGTAGCTTCCAATTTTATTTCTGTAAATCCAATTGACAAGCATCTCTTTCTCATTCACATCTAATGGCACAGCTTCAAACATGACCTTATCACAAGGAGCAGCAAGTCTGGGCCACAGCCATCAAAGAACATTGATTTTAACGTGGCCCATAACCTAGTACAGTGGCACAGAAGCTTTCTGGACTGCATTGCTAGATGCAAACCTAGGCAGTGACCTTCATACTCAGTTACTCAAAAACTATAGGCTGCCATATTTACATGCAAATACATAAGCATGAATGCATTTATTTATTCAGTCACAGATACATGGAGATGGCAACAAATACAATTTAACCAAAGCCACACGTTTCTCTTTGGCAGGCATTGAAGGAATGGAACAGAGGATAAGCCCCTGTAGACAAAAAAGTATGAATGATGCCTTATAATGCTGCCTTATACTTGAACTATACTGGGTCAAATTTTTAGTCTATCTTGCACTGCATTATCTATTCCAATGGGCAGTGGTTCTGCAGCAACTCAAGCAGAGAGTAATCCTTTATCTGAGAGCATCTACACACAAAAATATATGTACTCTGCCACTGTGCTAAGGCCCTTCTTCCCTTATTAAACTGTTAGGGATGAAGAGGAGACTGAAACAACCCTTTATCAATTCATGAAAATTTTGGTGGCGAGTGGGGAAGATAATGGATGATGGTATTATCCTTTTTGGTATGATATTGGGGCAGGGAAAGAAGATAAACTGAACATAATCACTGAATGACTGAAAATCAAGAGGTAATCCTAGAATCATACAGTATGTCTGAGAAGTACCTTAAGGTCACCTACTCTCAGATCTGGGTGGTAGGTGACAGATATCTATGGCTGAAAGACCAGGATCAGGGATAATGGAAATGGATGGAGGTCTTAGTGGGGTATGAGAGGACCAGAAGCAAAGATGAAGTCAGGAACAAGCAAGGTTCGGATATCAAGCAAAATTTGGCAGGTCCAAAAGTAGAGCCAGGAAAAGCAAGGTCAGATACAGACGAGGCATGGCATATCCAGAAGCAAAGAAAGGAACAAATTAGAGCCACTTAGCAGCAACTCATGGCTGAACCAAAGACAAAAAGCAAGTAGCTGGCAAGGGTCAGATACCAACAAAGTGTGGCAGGTCCAGAGGTGAAGACAAGGTCAGGAATTGGCAAAGATCAGATACCAAAAAGGTATGGCAGAACCAAAGGCAAAGGTAAGGTCAGATACCAGCAAGGTGATCTAGGGCCAGAAGCAATGTAACATCAGAAAGGACAAGAAACAGGTCCCTGGCAAAATGGGGTCAGACCAAAGGCAAGAGCAGAAGAAAGAATCAAAGCACAATCCAAAGCAAGACTAGGCACAGGTTCTAATGCTTGCCAATACCTACAGGTCTGACCAACAGACTGGAAATGTTCAATTTACATTCCAATCCCCAAGAAAGAAGATGCTAAGGACCATTAGCATCCAGTATCAGCCCCAGGACCATTGTATTAATTTCCCATGTAGCAAATTGATGCTCGAGGTATTACAGCAAAGAATCTTGCTCTGTATGGAGAAAAAAATACCTGATGTTCTTTCTGAAAAGAAAAAGGAACTTCATATCACAAATATATGTCGGTTACTGGGGCACACCAAAGAATTTCTGAAGATGATTAAACCACACTTTATAGGCTAGAACAAAGCATTCAACTGACTGAATCACAAGAAGGTATGGATGGTTCTCAGGCGGTAACCTGTATCATGGCCAAGAATCTAGTCTTAGGATGAAATATGGAGAAACAGAATGGTTTCCTATAGGCATATACATCAGACAAGAGTGCATTTTATCTCCCCATCTGTTCAACCTGTATGTAGAGTATGTCAGGAATGGGATTAGGATCAGAGGATTTGTTGGTAGAAGATACACCAATAATTTAAGATATGCAGATGATACCGCATTACTGACAAAAAGCAGCAATGAATTGCAATGATTCTTGAGCAAAGGGAAAGTGCAAAACCAGAACTTCAGCTGAACATTAAGCAAACAAAAATAAGGACTATGGAAGACTTATACAACTTTCACATCAACGGTGAAGAATAGGAAATTGTGAATGATTTTGTATATATTATCACCAATTCAAATAAAGACTGCAGCCAAGAAAACAGAAAAAAAACTGAAGGGTAGCAACAAAGGAACCGGAAAATATTGTGAATTTGAAGGAGCTTTTACTGGAGACCAAGGAAAAGATCACCCACACTATTATACTCCTGATCACTATGCATGGGCGTGAAAGTTGGACCATGAAGAATGCTAACCAAAAGATAACTGATGTGTTCAACACATGGTGCTGGAGGGCTGTCGAGTAAAAGAAAGATGGACAAATGGCTCCTACATCCAATCAAGATAGAATTTTCCCTGGCAAATACGACCAAACTGAAGCTGTTGTACTTCGGGTGTCATGACAGGCAGCGAAGACAACAATGTTAGGGAAATTTGAAGGCAGATGCAGAAGGGAAAGACCAACTATGAGATGAACTGGTTCCATGAAAAAAGCCACAGCCTTGAATTACTATGAGAAAAAGAATTTTCTCACTTTTAATTTCCTCAGTTTTCTTGTTGATAATTTGCAAAGTGTCAGTGCACTCTGATGATGCAATATTATAATTAAAAATACAACTGAAATGCTGTGTCACTGCACCACTAGCTAATAATGCCAGATAGAACTTTCAGAAACACATGAATGTATCTCTTGTCTGGATATCTTCTGCATCAACATCAAGAAAGTCTTTAGTCCGTTTGATCAGAGAACTGTCATTTCCTCTGCCCCATTTATTCTCAGAGCAGAAAAGGGTTGATGAATGTCATGTCTTTGCTACTGAAAGAATTAATGACAAGATGTTGCTTAGCATGAAGTTGATTATTGCCCTACTTAGTTATCCTCTCATTGTTGGGTTTTGCTACTGACCCAGCACAGTTGCAGTTGGATGTTTTCCTTTTACACTACATTGGATAATGACTCTGAAAATATATTCTATGTAGCATGCCACCTGCTTTCAGTCTGTGATAACACTATTATTTGGTTTTGGAGTGGAAGGGTTCACAGATTAACTGTTTGTTTGAAACCCATTCTGACTCATATGCTATGAATAGTCCAACCCAGGAATATTAACCCAAATATATACCCTATACAATGGCTGTCTTGACATATTCAGAAGACAGACAAAACATGAGCCTAGAATTAGCACTGCAGTGACAACAGAGAGCAGACACAGGGGAGATGGCAGCCTGTCCTTTGCTAATTGTTTCTGTATTGTAGCTCAGCAAGGGTTCTAACATATCAATATGCCCCTAAAAAAGTGTTAAATGTTAAGAGATTGTGAGGAAAGAGCACCATTTATATAAATTGCAAAGTTTTGCCACGACACAGGCAAACAGATTTAAAAAATATAAAAATGTGGTCACTGATATCCATGCAAATAAGTGTACTTATTTTGTTTTGTCAAGCAGTTCTTGCGAACACTCTACAGTGTATAAACTCTACATTTTATATTTTAAGAACTGCTCAACAAAACAGCACCTTTCCTCTGTAGCTGCAAGTTATTATTACAGCGATATAAACACACTGATTAGAGCTCAAATCCTACTTAACACCCTGAGATGTACTTCTTAGTAAATATGCTGAAGACCGCACTGTTATTCTTACAAGGGAGCATTATGAAATTGATTAATGAAAATTACTATGGGTTCCATCCAGCCTTAAATTTATTTATTTATTTAAAGTTTTTATATGCCGTCCCCATTGCTACACAGCCTCGGGACGGCTCACAACATAAACAAATAGAATAACATTTACAATTACAATTTACAATTAAAACTTGGAAACACACTGGCTGCATAATTAAAACTATAAATATTAAAGATTATTAAAATACTGTTTGAATAAAAAGGTCTTGGCCTGGCGCCAAGTGGATGTCCACTTGCACAATGGAATCCTTATTTCGATCCTCCCTCTGAAGCCCCTGCATGCCTCCAAATCTATTTCGGATGGCCCCCCAATCCTTCTGAGCAGATTTGGGAGAAATACAGGAATTGTTGGGAGAACAAATCCATCCTTCATCAGTGTCTGTTACACTGGCAGACAGACACTGTTGGAAACAACCCTGTATTTTAAAATAACCAACATGTATTAAGTATGACATGTTTTCAGATAATCATCTTAATTTATACTTTGGTATGGAGCAGGCTATAAATCCAACAAATGGACAAACTTTAGCTAGCCACAAGAAAACAACCAAAGTGTTCATGGAAAAAGTGACCCTTACTGGGATCTGAAGGTGTAAACATGTTTGGGATTGGTCACAGAAGCATTAGCATCTTAGTGGAGTTAAAGCAAGTTAAATCTTATTCTTATTCTCTTCTTCTCAGGCTACATGTGTTCTTTGGAACTTGTACCATCTGGGAAATGAAGAACCCCTTATGGAAGTAATTCATTCTCAACTGTAGGAAAAAGAATACCTAAATTACTGTTTATTTTTATTTTGTATTATTAATAGATATCCAAATTATATCTGATAGTGAGAAGATCCTACCAAAAAGAGATCAAATTTTTAAAAATAAGCATTCTAACTAAGATTGTGTGAAATCGATTTCCCAGTTCCACTGAAAAGATGGAAAAAACATTATCTGAAGGTAATTTCTGTACCACAGAGACTGATGCTTACGTTGCAATTAGAAGAACCATCAAATGTAGGATAAGGACTGTCAGGCCATTCAGAAGAATCCATGCTACCTGAGTGCCGATGCTGGGCCTCATATTCTTTAAGCTGAAATGAAAATGAAACCAGTGGTAACTACTGGCCTTGGCTGCTTGCTAAAAATATGTTTATTCAATTTCAATTTTTTCAGTGGAGTGATGAGCGAAATAATGCAAGAAACATTGAACATTATAGACTGCTGTAACCATAAGCCCACTGTTTGACAATACATTTCTGTCTGTTTTCTGGAAAGTTTATAAAGAAGCTAGTCACACATTGATAGACACACATAGATAGATGCAGGTAAATTCAGTTCTACAATATCATAAAAAGTTGATGTGTTCTATTACATTACTAATATACAAATATTGAAAATTGGTCCCCTCAAAGACAAGCAAGCTTTCTATGAATTGAAGTTTTAGCTTTAAAGAGTATGTGCATTAAGCATCACCATGCCGTGAGAAACAATCTTATCAACTTGAGGTTGAACTTTTATTCTTGGTTATGCTATGCAATTCATCTTTCAGTCAATATATACATATGCATACCATGCTCTGTTAAGAGTGATTCTCAAACTTTTTAAAGGCACTTAATCACAAAACCGCCTTCATTCAGAATGTATGGGCTTGATTAGACAGGGCACTAAAATCAAACATTACATTTGGCAATACCCCAGTCCACCAAGTAATTATGATGTCATACTCACAGTAGTGATTCACAAATGTAACCTAATTTATCATTTGGCATTGGCTGAGTACGACCTTAAAAAAGTTCAAAGAATATAGTAGTATTGTATTTGCATCACATACCCTTGCAAGTGCTTCCTCAATAGTGATCATCTTCTCCTTGACCATCATCATTAACTGGATCCGCTCCTCATCACTCATTGTGATCTCACTTGCCACATAACCAACATCTTCTCCTGGACATATTGGAAAGATGAAAGAATAAAGGTTTTCCAAATTAAAACAGATAGAAAATCAAACATACCCAATCATGGCTTCCCAATATAATGACCTCTAAAATATGGTTTCTGTATTAGTCAGCCTTTTCAGACTTAAATTAATCCTCCTTTAACACTTTGAGGAACACACCAACAAATTTTTTTATTTTTGAAAAATGACATGATCATAACTCTGTCACGTAGAGGACAGTAGCAGTGACAGGAGAGCTCTTGCCAGTTCCCCTATGCTTTGATGACTAAGAACCATGGGAAAATATTCCTTCTGAGGAACCTGTTTCACTTCCTCAAATCAATACAGTTAAGAAGGCATGGCCTTGAATACATTTATAGCATTTCAAAATCATTATGGACACTGGTAGAACAGTAAAAGAATTGCAAATCCAAAGTTTCAATTATTAGACTATTTCTAAACAGAGTCCCTGCATTGTGAAACAATTACTAACATTCTTTGAAGAAATTTAGTATATTTGCAGCTTCTCATTCATCGTCTTAAGACATATCTGACTTTGATAGGGTAATGTAAGAAATAATTATGGGACACAGTGGTTCTTGTCCTACACACTATGTTTTTAATTTTAATTGTATTTATTTTTATTTTTTATGATTCTGTGTATTTTTTGTAAGCAATTCTAGGTACAATTGTAGTGTAGGATATAAATAAATCACTGCATATTATAATGTAGTAATGCGGCTGTGCTTCCACCTGCACTGAAAGAACAGCCAGTAAGTTAATATTAGACAGATTTCTTTACAAAATCTTAAACTTATGTTGGCAAGCATGGCTCCTCTTGTCTTGTTATGTGGATACTGTATGCAGTGTAGCAAGGGAAGCTCAGCAGTTGATGATAATGGCCATATGACTGTGAGAATTACTGGGGGTAAAAGAAATATCACATCTAATATCAAGCTGTTCTGACAGCATTTGCCTAAGTATGCATATTATTCATTCCAACCTGAATGAGGAAATGTTATTCAATGAAGGAATATTTGCGTTAGATAATTTTATCGACATTTCACTGCTAATAGGTATATCATCTAAGATGACTTCTATACCTGTGGTTGACATTGTGCATTGCTTGTACAGTGTATACTAATCAAACTTACTAACTTAGGACCAGAGAAATCCCTGGATCATGTTAGTATTCCTCACCAAACAAAATTCAAGAATCATTCAGCATCTATGTCAGAAGGCAGGGTCATATGCAGGAAAGATGGATCATCCTCAGTTTATTCAAGTGATTACTGTGAAAAAAACCTAATTTTTCTTGCGTTTAAGCTATTTTAACTAATGAATGTGCACAGTTCAGATCAAATATTCAACAGAACATAACCAAAGCTGAAGAATGCAATAATTAGTTACAATTAGTATTATCTAAGGCATTTTGGGGATGTTACCAGCATAGTTTAAATAATCAAAGTTATGTATAATGACTACAAATATGATCTGAATTGTAGGACTACCAAATAAATACTACCAAATAATAATAATTGTAGGACTAGATAAGTAAGATCAGCAAACAGCTTTGACAATGGTTTTTTAAAAACTAAATAAGCGTCAGGCTGAAACCTAATAACATATGAGGATTCAGATGATGGGCAGTACCTTGTGCTGCCTGTACATCACACTAGCACAACAGGGAGCTTATGATTGTTAAAGGAGAACAGGTAAAAACACTTGCAGGTCTGGGAAGCCCACAGAAAGACCTCTGCCAAACTGTCCTGATCTGGAAACGAGCATTTCTGCCTCAAGCTCCTTGACAAAATGCTAATTCCCTGTTGCACAAGTACTACGTCCTGATGAAGTGCAGTGGTCCTGTTGGATACTGGGCATAATGCCATTCTTAAAAGTTTTCAAAATTTGCTGAATATTTTTAAATTTGACAAATCCAACTGAACTCAACAGCATTCTTTTATTCTGACTGAATTAAGGATATCAGTGTAAGATCTTCTTTTTTAACATATTCAAAATTTTTACTTTGAGAAAATTAAAGCACTGCAAAAGAAGAGTACTTTGTAAACAGAGATAGTCTACTTTTATATTGCTAAAGGCAAACTTATGCTTTAAGCCTTGTGGGACAACCGTGTAAAACTTCTTCATCCCATTCTGAACCTTAGCTTAGTATGGAAGAGTCGTGAGAGATGAGTAATGTCCTGTTAAATAATACAAGGTTAGAGCATGTTTAGCAGGCAATAGCACATAACCCAAACTTCTAGTATTGTGAAACTCTCTGCAAAAGATACTACTAGGAAAAAATTAAGACCATACTTGCTAAATTATTGTAACAGAGTACCTACATCCTTGTTAAGTGCCCATTAGTTATAAAAAAAGCTATTTTCTGAACTTAATATACAATTAATAGTAAAAGAGAAGAGCAATAAAAAGTACCTTTAGAAGACTGCCTCATTAATCCCTTTTGATTCTTTCTGAAATTTTGCCAGAAATATCTGTTCTTTTTTTTCCAATCTGCTTTGCCTAGTGCAAGACAAAGAATGCATATGTATAAATTTACAAACTTTTCTTCCTCCTTTTTCAGATATTTACTCACTGAATTCAGCTTTGAAAAAAAGTCAGTGTTATAAAGTCATCACAGCCACCCATAATTTGGAACAAGGAAGGATATAAAACTAAAAGCCATTGTAATGATATGAAAAATGCCTTTATTCATTTTTATAAACAATACTGGCAGTTAAAAATCACTCAACCTTCACAAATTAGATAAAAAAAACTTAACATCTACAATGTAATTCTATTTTCTGATTGATCATGCTGTTGCTTGTCAACTAGAAATGGAATGCAGCCTGAATTAACATTACCAAAATTTCTGTTTTAGCTATATTTTCTAGTTATCCCTACTGCAAGGAAAGATGGAATATAGGACAGCAATTGTACAGGAAAAGCTAAAAACCACATGGTTTTCATTACAGAGTATTTAAAAAGGCAAGAGAAGAGGGGAGAATGTCTCCAGTATTTAAATAAAACCATGTCGTTCCTTTGTCTGCCTAGCTAGCAAGTATAGCAATTGATACAATGTATAAGGAAATACTTCTTTAAAGGAACATATAATTAAAATAATAGTTAAAGTTAAACAAGGTTATTCAGAAAACAACTTCTTTTCCTGACACATGTAGTAAAACAACTGACTACTGCAAGAGAGCTGACAACAAGGAGACAGGTCACCAGTGAGGATGGTCTTAAAAAAGAAATAAAGGACCAAATAAAATGAAGGTTACTGACCTACAGCACTTTCTTCAGAACTTGATTTATGAAGGGAAAACCTAAAACACAAAAGAGAAAGAGAATGTTTGTGAGAAACATCTCCTATCCCATAGGAGTTTTCTGGCGTACAGTAACCAGGATTTGAAGAATCAAATGTGTGTTATCCCCCTCCCCACCACCCGCTTCTTCTTCTTCTTCTTATGAATGCACACTGAAGCCAGCCAAAGAAACAGCATCTGAGCTCCAGCCATACTTATACAATGGCATTAGCTCAGCTCCAGCCTAAAGTTCTGAAACAAGCTTCTTGTGACAGATGCAGAAAAATATGTATGGAGAACAAAAGAGTGAAAGACTTACAGGGTCAAAAGGAGAAATGTGCAGAAGAATGCCCTTACTTTCCCCCCTCTCCATCCCTGCAATTGTTCATATAGAGAATTAATAGAACGCGTCTTCAAAAAAAATAAAAATTCAAACTTTGATAAATATCCTTTGATATACATTTGACTTTGCCTTTTAACTGCTGCTGTTCGCAATATGGCATTTTTATACTAGAATCATAACATTTTGCAAGTACTAGCAGTCAGCTATGTTAGCATTAAGAAACAAAAGTTATGTTTCAAGTACAGCCAAAGTTCATTATTAGTATTCTGATTAGCATTAAAATAATAATATTAAATATATTAGCATAATGTTACATAATATCACAACAAAACAAACAGCTATATACATATTACTATGTTCTTCTCTTGAAGCCTAGGTGTTGAATCCCAGTAGTACCCAATGAAAATCTTTAAAGAAAATCTGAAATGGACCTAGCACAGATACATACTCTGGTTACACCAACAATTCCTCAAATAGGAACCAGGCTTACAGCCTGCTGGTTATTCCCAACAATTACTACTCCTACATCCCTTACTATCTTCATTCTTCCTTGTTTTGACAAACTCACTTCTTCACTTTGCTAAAACCATAAGGGAAATGTCCCACCTGCAATGTGAATACATAATATAGCAGTCAGGGTCTGGACTGAATGCTTCTAGAATGTTTGGGGCATATTCCATTCTTGCTGCTTTCCTTTCCTATAGTCTACCAGTATACAACCTAGCAAACTGTACTGATGTTGCTAGCACTCATTATCTTTAAACCAAAATATCTGGACAACAAACAAAGAAGGCAACCAAAATGGTTATTACCCCTAATGTGTAAATATGACACCTGATTAAATGCTACAGAAATACTTCCAACCACTCCTAAACTTGTTGTAATGAAATTCTACATAGCAATAACAACATGTAAGGTTGAGCAACATAATTCTTCCACTTAAGTTGACTCTTTCCAGTTAAAATAAAGATTATTCTTTCCATCAACTCTGGAGAAACAGTATGCTTAGATATCAAACATAAGCAAAATTTACATTCTCAAGGGATATTAATTTTCCTATTATCTCATAAAGTGTTATTAAACTATTTAATACTGCACTTTTTAAAAACTCTACTACATTTTGATATACTGTCTGTGATGGAGTCTGCAATCAACTTGATATGCACTTTTTAGGATTAGCAGCAGAGGGCAATGCTGAGTTTATGATCAATGTTGAAAAGCTCCAAGATGTAACCAAAATATTTTTTTTTTTAGACCAGTGCACACTGTAAATGATCCAAGTGATTAGAGGCCAATAGTTTATAAGCATGAAAAACATAATCATCAATTTGCAGGACATCATGAAAAGGGAAGCAATAGCACGAAGTTTAATTTTGATTCCGTAAATTCATCCAAACAGCAGCAGTCACATCACTGCTTGGACATGGCAAATCATCTTTCTTCTTCAGCCTTATTAGAAATCTAATCTGAAGCAGCCATCTATCCAACTGATACAACCAAATTCCAGATCTGGCCTGCACCAGGTGCATGCTGGAACAGAGCCATTGATAGTTTCCTTACTTTCCAGTTTACTTATGGGACAGCTTGTAAAAAGAAAATTAATGGCTTGGGTGGATTCACAGCACTAGCAGCCAAGTGCTTGATTGTTAGGAAGGAATGCAAACAACAGGCAAAGAAGAAAAGATATATATCTTTTTTAAACAGGGTCTTGGTAGTATAATATGAAGTATGTATAATGCATACAGAAGCCAGAAGCTTTGTGAACACTCATGCCATTTCATTTCTTATACTTGCCTCTAATGCTGCCCTATATCACTAAGTTTGTGGGTTTAGCCTACAGCCCCATTTAAGCACAGAATGATTGGCTTTTTCTTTTTCTTTTTGATAGGTACATATATGCCCACACACACACTTGCACACTTGTCTGAAATGTATCACTATCAATATAAAAATCTTAATATCCAGCTTTTTCAGCTTATATAAATATGTTCATAACGGCCATATTAATAGTTGGTTAATATGATAACTATTAATTAGATAACTATTAATGTAAAAAATGGTGTGCCAAGAATCAAATATGAAAGGAACATAATATGAAAGGAAGATACTCCCACAAAACGTAACACTACTTGTACTCTTCACTACAAGAGAGTTATATGGTGGCTATCTATAAGAATCTTCATTATCATACCAAAGGATTAGGGGAAATTTGCAGTTGTTATGCTGTCTTTTTTGCTGATTCTACAAAGCACAACATTTGAGTTGATAAAGTAACATATTCTTACCACAGAAACAATTCAGTAAATACTTACATAAGAATTGCATGTTAATCTAGAATTCATAGTCTATTTAAGACTAAAAAAGATGGAGAGGAGACAGAATGGTATTTTGCTTAACAGGAATAAAATACGTCTACCTTCAATCTCTAGGCTCAGTTTCACAGATTGTAACCTGGTGATGCAGCCAAGTTAAAACTTCTGATTAAAAATTAAAACCCAAATGCAAAATCAAGATGGGAGAGAGCCTGATGTGCAAGAAAGAAGAATATCCAGGCACACCGGTGCCCAAGAGTACCAGGTTGGAGAAACACTAGGTAAGATGGACCTGTATTCTGATCTTGTTGTTGTTGTTAGTCACAAAGTTGTGTCCGACCCCTTGCGACCCCATGGACAACACTCCTCCAGGCCTTCCTGTCCTCCACCATCCCCCGGAGTCCACTAAAGCTCACACCAATTGCCTCATTGACTCCATCTAGCCACCTCATCCTCTGCCGTCCCCTTCTTCTTTTGCCATCTATTGTTCCCAGCATTAGGCTCTTCTCCAGGGAGTCCTTCCTTCTCATTACGTAGCCAAAGTATTTGAGTTTCATCTTCAGGATCTGGCCTTCTAAAGAGCAGTCAGGGCTGATCTCTAGGACTGACCGGTTTGATCACCTTGCAGTCCAAGGGACTCACAGGAGTTTCCTCCAGCACCACAATTCAAAGGCCTCAATCCTTCAGCACTCAGCCTTCCTTATGGTCCAGCTTTCACAGCCATATATTGCAACTGGGAAAACCATAGCCTTGACTATTCGCACTTTTGTCAGCAGGGTGATGTCTCTGCTTTTTAGTATGCTGTCTAGATTTGCCATAGCTTTCCTCCCCAGGAGCAAGCATCTTTTAATTTCTTGGCTGCAGTCCCCATCTATGGTGATCTTGGAGCCCAGGAAAATAAAATCTGTTACTACCTCCTAAGAAGGTGCATTTAGGAAGCAGACATGTGCATTGTTTGATGTTGTTTTCCAGACAGTTAAAGAGAGGGCAATTTGTTCTCTAGTGCATTGTTTAGCTGGTAAGACTATTTTCAACATTACTGGTTTTTCTGTCACGAGTAATTCTAAACAGTAAATCAAGTCATGCAGGTTGAAAAGATGGACATTGCTGTTCTACATTTTGAAAATGATTGGTGTTTTTTGCCTGGAAAATATGGGAAATTGAATTTAGAAATGTTTGCAGTTTGAATAGTGGGTTACTTCCATTCTTCTTTCCAGGGCTAAATTGGAAAGTGTTTGTGAATTCAAAATGCATGGTGAGAAGTGTGTTGCTAGAAGCATTCTGGCCTTATCTGTCACTAAATTGCTCACTACAAAACAGCACTGGGTAAACTTCAAACCTATCGACTGAATCCAAACCACCTGGCCATGTCCCATCTCACCCACACTATTAGAGACCCCTTTAAAGCATCACATGCATTATGTCTCTATGTACAAAAACTAATGGGGAAAAAGTGGGAAGACTGAAGCACTGGAGGAGTGAAACCTGAAGTTTGTGTAAGCCTGGCAGAAAAGAAGGGGAGATAGAAGGAAAAATAAAAATAAAAAGAGAGAGGGTAGGAGATGGACAAAGAGGGGAAAAAGGAGAAGAGAGGGAAAGATAGTTAACATACCACATTGCCTTAGTAATGTCCTCTCTCGGTTTTGAACGCACCTAATTCTGACATGTTTCTCTCTACAGTTACACAGAAACAAAAGCAACCCTTGGTCTGGAAAAGATGTCCTACCCAACAGTAATATGTTCAGATTACCTCCACTAATTAATCTGCATAATAAATGTGCAAACTTTTCCAGATTTTCAGCCAGTTAACTAAACAGGAAATCTATAGTATTTATAATTCTATTAAAATGCTTTATGCTTCAATCTTATACATGCCTTCTCGGAAGCAACTCCCACTGTGTTGAATAGTGCTCACTCTTAGGTAAGAGTACAATAGATTGCTTTTTCAATTTTCAACAAGAAAGAACATGATGGTTGTAGTACAGTGACTCCAACTCTAACAACTTTTTAGGCTTTTTATAACCAAACTAGCAAAAACCACATGATCAATCCAGTTTAGAAGAACTTAGCAGCTTCTCATTGTTCAAACTACAGTATAATTGAAATGCTTTGCAATCATCATCTCCTTTTATGTGGGCTAAAAGAGCAGACATAGGAGACAAGTATTCCACTATGGATAAGAGTGTCTTTAATAATGCTGTGCTATGAAGGAAAAAGATTCATTTGTGAAAGTAGTGTCACAGAAACACAGAAAAAGAGCGAGTCAGAAGGGGCCTCCCGGGCCATGTAGTCTGACCCCGACTTCAGACGGCTCTGCTCATGACATGCCTACCATGTGCATGTCCAGCCTCTGCTTGAACACCCTC